GAGAGAGAGAGAGAGAAATGATGTGCGCTCGATGGAATTCCCTGCGGGGTTTACTTTGCGGTGCAACCCGCGGCGATGCGGGCCGCATGCGACGAATATATAGCGACGGTTGGGCAAGGGGGATATTCGAGGAGACGAAACAGGCGGATATTCAGCAGCGGCGAATGTGGGCCATGAAGTTCCGAGTTCTGTATAAGTAATTTTATGGGGCGCGCAGCTTATGAATTAGAGCTAAATAAAAGCCGTCCTTCGTCTGCTCGGATCACGAAGCGGTCGCGCGAAATCGGATTAGCTTCCGGGGATAATACGGCGAGAGGGATTATACATCGATCGCGGTTTCGCCAAGAGATGAAGAGAAATTAGAGAGAGAGAGAGGGAGGGGGGGGAGAGAGGTACGCATTTCGCGGATGATTTAATTAAGAATGCGAATGCAAATTAGATCGAAGATCAAACGTACTGTGAGAGAACAACGAGTGCGAGAATTGTATTAAAACTTATGGAATCAAGTATAATCATGTATAATTCAATATTTTTCATTTAAAAAAAATATATATATTGCGGAAATAGGGAAGATTGACTTTGAAGAAATAAATGAATAATTAATTTTTAATTTGTATTTTTTATCGTAAAAAAACTTATGAGATTTTTGCAATACATCGCGATAAGTAAGAATATAATATTTGCATCTATGTAATGTACCTTTATTTATATTTATATTATAGCGTTCATTAATCTAATTCTACGTTATGTCATTTATAATTTCTTCATCAAGTAATTTTTTTGAAAGAAGAAAATGTGAAAATAAGATTTTCAACACAACATTCATCAAAAATGAGAACTAATAATTCTAATAAATAGACTGTTTGACAATGATAAAATAATGATAAATTTGCAGTAAAAAGAAATAAGATTTAAAAATGTACGTGGAAAGAACAACTTTATTAAAGTATCTAAAAATTTTACTATAGATCTTCAAAATAATTTGTTGAGACCATTAAAATAATTATTTAGAGTGTTGAAGTTCCTAGAATATAAAAAATATTATCATTATGCTTAAGCGTTTTATATAATTGATAGCCCAACAAAATTATTTTCAGATATATGTCTGACAGAATCGTTATTTCCATGTGGATATATGGTTTCAAAGTTACATGGAGCCAGAGTTAATGTAAATTACGAAAGATCGTCGAGTCGCGAAGCGCGGGAAAATGTGACTAAATGTTAAATAGAGAAATTACAATAGGTAGCTGCATTAGAAGAAAGTGCCAAAATCTGTTTCAGTACGGAGAATTTAAGAGAAAATTTATAAATATTAATTGTTTTATTATTTAAGACGAATTGTCTCGTTCGTTTTTTTTTTTTTATATTTTTTCTTATTTATCACGTATTATTCTTTATTTATTTTTATTATTATTAATAGTATTTCGATGAGTTCCAGTTCTCACAATCTAGAGAAAATTCTTGCGTAAAGATTCAAGTCTACTTCCTGTTAATTATCTATAAATTACAGAACCGTGAAGATGCCCAATAATTACGTGGGCGTAGTTTTCTAAAAACCCGAGAGGCATGCAACTCGATCGAATTTTGCGTAGAAAAACGGGGAAGCCAGCGAAATACGGGTCATTCTCTCTCCTTTTGTTCTGCCAGTCCGATTGTAATCCGTCGAAACCACGTGGGGCTCCACGTAACAATGTGGAGCAATTTCTTTTGCTCTCTTTCTCTCTCTCTCTCTCTCTCTTTCTTTTTTTCGTTTCTCACGCGATGGTTCGACGATTCCGTTACCACGTGGTATCGCGGCCATTTGTCGGGGCAATTTATTTCAGTACAAAGAAGATTTGCAACCGGGGCGCACCGATCACGGAAGGAACCGCCGCCGGTCGTGGGATCGTTAGCCACGGGCGAGGACACGGCACTCAGGAGGGAGGGGGGGGTGGTGGTGGTGATCCTCGCGGCATAACCGGAAGTGATGGGGACCCTACGGTGAATCGTGGGAATCACGGCAACTTGGCAACTTGCCAAATTGAATTAGAAAGTTCGCCGCTCTCTCGGCCGTGGAGTGTCTCGTTTGTCTCCGCCGGTGGCAGCCGCGGTATCGAATTAGGTGCACGAAGACCCTCCCCCCTCGTTCCTCCCCTCCCCCCCCCACGTGTACAACCGCGTGTATTTTCGGGCCGCGAAGAGTCGCCGAGGGGAACGGGGAGATAGTCCCGCGGGGTGGTTCGCGCGAAGACGGGAAGACGAGGAACGACAAGGGTAACAAGGGATATCCTGTATTAAGAATCTTATTATGGCGTAATGTATGGGAACAGAAGCGTGGAACAAACTGGAAATAATTAGTATCCATCGACCGGGATAAGAAATGTAATTGTATCTCGAATCGGTTTTACGACGTCGATTAAACGTCGATTGAAAAAGGCGATTAAAACTCGCTGCGAATAAAACGGAAATGGAAAAAATGAATCCTCGATCATTAAGATGGAGAGATACCGGCAGATACCGAAGAGGTTATTTTTCGTATCTCGGAAAAAAATCTAGAGAAGGCGAGAAGAGTGCCAGTCAAAGCGAGGGAAACGAATCTCCCGAATCTTTTCTGTCCGAGAAGAGAACAAGCGCCGTGGTGGCCGATAATTTGCTCTAATTGGTTGGGCTGATCATTCCGAGCCCTCTAAGCCGATCACCAAACGCGGGGGTGCGCGTTTCCGTATCGTACCGCGAATGATTCAGCCAACTCATAGCTCTCCCTCTAACTCCCGCGCTCTTTCTCTCTCTCTCTCTCTCTCTGGACCAATCCGCGCGATCCGCACGCTTTGCTCTCGGACAATATTAGCGAGCTAATTACAATCGTCCGATTAGCCAACATCGCTCGTTGCCTTACTGCTCTAAGCCGATTGCGCCCGGGCGTGGAGTGTGGACTATCGTTCTGCAATGGGGTGCGCGATCGGGCAACATATAACGTACACGGTTCAGACGGTTCATCCGTATCCTCGGTCCTGTATACCTTGGCACAACGTGTACTCCGCTAATTACGACGTCCCGATTACACAGCTTATGACTTTACGTCCGGTCTGCGCATGATGGCCACCGTCGAGTTGCTCTGGGGGGTTAGGGAGCGTCGGGGGCGGGGAGAGGAGGGGGGGGAGCTACCCCGGGGCTCAACACGTGAACTTTGGCAGCGGCGGTCCGGCTGGTCGGTCGGCTGACGTTTGATAGTCAATGAACAAAGTTCGCTATCAAAGCGACCGGGATTTCGCGTATCCGCAGGGGACTCGGTGATTTTCTCAGCCCGTGTACTCAACCCGTGGGCGGACGTTTCGGAAAGTTTCCCCCTCCCGCCCGCCCGCCCGCGGAATGACGATGATGAGCCAATCAGCCCTCGAGCTTTGCATCTTCCACGGTTCGATTAATCCCGACACTTACGAGGGTTCTTCGCTGGCCCCGGAAATTTGAATTTTGATGAAACTCGCGCAACTGCGATCGATCGGTGCCCGTTTCACGTCGAGTGAACTCTCTCTCTCAAGTGAAAGATGCAGATTCTTATCAAATTAATTATTATCGCGGCATAATAATCAAAATCATGTCATCAATTGTCAAATCGACTCTTCGGACTGAAGAATATTCCTTTGATTCCTCTCGAACAGCGATCGTAAACAACAAATGATGCAAAGGATTTAAATCCTTAAAGTCACCAACACATTTAAAGCACATTGGATGCTTGGATCTACTTATTTCTGACGTAGATTCATCATCGAGAAGATCGAGATTGATGCTTAGTCAACCGTATCCCCTCCCTCCTCCCGCGAGTTACATCACGTTCTCGATAGCTATGCTTT